AAAAACGAGAGAACGAAGAAAGAGAAAAACGAAGCGAGAACTGTACGAAGTATACAAGAACTGTAAAGCCTTCACTACCTATTTGTAATCGGTTTGTCGAATTTTTGCGATCTTCCTTTTTTTCTTTTCTTCTTCTTCTCCACCCACGATACGGAAAATCAGCTTTCCCTGCATTTTGGAAAACAAGGAATCAGTGGCCGCCCGTGATGATCCTATAATTCACGCTTATGACCTGCATATTGTTATTGTTCTGAAAGTTCTGAAAGTTCTTACGTGTGCGCTCGCGAGAAAAAAGAAAAAAAAAAAGAGAAGAGAGAAAATTGTGAAAAGAAAAAAAAATTGTGAACAGAAAAAGATAACGATAAACAAGAAGACGAATCGATCGATTGAATTGTGTAATTTGGCAAAACCCGAATTCGAGCGAAATCATACGTTCGCGTAGGCCGGCGTACGGTGACAAATGGATAGCTGAGAGTCCACTTCGATTCTACGCGATCGCCGGTGCCACTTACGTGTACTTCCCAGCCTTCAGTTCTATGCAGATGGAATTGATAGACCGGATATTACCGCACACGAACTTTAGATTCTCGAACATGCATCACGATATTGGATTGTTCAGGGTGACTATTATGTGTATATATAAACTCTATGTGGAAAATAAAGAAATAAAAAAGGAAAGAAGAGACAAGAGAGAGGAGAGTGAGAGATCAATTCTCCCGAAAGAAAGATCCCGATCATCAGTTTCTCGTTTCCCTTCCAACTTTTATTTCACTTCGTTTGTCCCCTCTTGGTTATTTTATTATTTGTCCGATGTACGTGCGCGTTCGAAATCGACTTCGCATGAAATTTTAAAAAACGAACGAGCGCACGAGAAACATGCAAAAGTTCCGAGCGAGAGAAACGCTCGTTTGTTTCTACAATCTTACGTCTCGTTTATTTATTCCTTAAATTACGATCGATTTCTCTTCATTTCTTTCCCTCCCAATTACAGTGGTAATTATCGCTTCGTTCTCGGTAGTTCCGAGAAATATTCTTTCGTACAAATTGAAATTCCATTCTTGGCAAGGAGAATTGATCCTCACTCCATTTTCAAAATTCTCCTTTTGGCAGTTAACCCTCTGTAAACAGAATTTCGTTCACCCAGCGAGAATCAAACGACTACTTGATTGTAACTAATTTGTTCTAATCGGAGAAACGAAATAGTTAACCGTTATGGATAAGTAACTTCAGTATTTTTGCAACTGGCCAGTAATATAACAGGCCAAAATAAATTTAACGCGAATAAACTAAACATGTGGATGCTTGTTGTGTGAATATTTCAAATTTTATCAAATTGTACAGTGTTATGGAGGTTTAACTTCAGCAAGCCCTCTGCGCTATAATATATATTAGATAGAATGGAAATGGCACCATGTTTCGTTTTGGAACCTATTTTTTTTTTTAATCATATAAAATAATA